TCGGAAGCGAACTGAGCTGTTGTTGCCTCAAAGCTTCATTCGTTCCAAGCATCCATCAATGTCTGTAAGCCACATTCTTATATACTGTCGGAATCCAAGGCTGAAAAACCCATCGGTATACACACAGTTGGACAGCGTGGTGGACCACTGAAAAAAAATATATATATATTTTGCCGCTTGTGCCTCTTTGTGTTTTCTGTGTAATGTTCTTTGAACAGGGAGCACAAAAGAAACCTTATCACAAAAGTGATTTTCTGTTTATACGTCTGTTAACAATGAAAAAAAAAACACTGAACAGAACAGCCGGGTTCTGACAGGAGCGTCTGAAGAACTTGTCTCTACTGTTGTCTCTCTGAGTGATTAAATAACTGAGCATTAATGCACATGGTAAATACCTCAAGGCAGTAAATGAGAAACTGACATAGATGCAAATTAATTAATTTGCCACAAAAACATGCTGGGAGTTGAGCTGGTGTTTTAAGCTAGAGGTGTTTTGGTGAAAGAAGTTTTTTACTTCAGTGTGTGCAAATACCAACTTGTGTTTTAGAGCAATGATAATGGCTCATACAGTTTAATGTGTTCTGTGTATGAAGGCATGAACTGGTTTTAATTATGCTGGTTTCTTTTTAAGAGGCTGCAGTTGTTTAGGTTTGTTCTAAAAGAACTGCAGGCGAGTCTGCAATGGAATTCCACTCACATACTCACATAGCACTTGCATTTCAGCTCTGTTATTTTTATAAACAACCAAACACTCCACGGCTCAGTCGTCTTTAATGACTTTGGCAGTTATTGTGCAATTTTGACACGTCTAATATTGAGTTTCCCAAGTATACATTTTTTTTAAAAAAGGTTCATTTTCCACCTGCGTCGGATTTGGTCAGTACACAATGCATCGATTTAACCATTGGAAAATAAATATTTTGGATTTCATTCTTGGTATTTTTTCCTCGATGCTTTTGTACAACAACAACCTAACAGTTTATTGTAAAAGTATATGTTTTAGCTTAACGCCACTGGAGTAATTCCTACAAAAATGTTTTTCTCATTGATCTAAAGCAGTGCTTCTCAAATAGTGGGGCGGCCCCCCCTATGTCCCCGGTGAGGTGCCAGGGGGAGTGTGAGGGGCTTCCAATTTAATATGGCAAGTGTACCACTGCTGTAATGCTTGAATGATAACAAGTCTCCAGTCACTAGGTGGCAGCACCTCATACAGTGGTTTGTACAGATACAAATATACAGTACATATTTTCAGGTTCTTAATAGTATTTGAATTTGCGTTGGTTTGGGTCGGGGGGTGCGTGAAAACATTTTCTGCCCCCATGACAGAAAATAATTAAGAACCACTGGTCTAAGGAATCAAGTTAACGGCCCTCTCGGGGGGCAACCCCCACTTTGGGAACCTCGAGGTATAATGAAGTTTTTAAAATATAGTTGAACCTGTGTTCTTGTATTTCCTTTCAGCTTACTGCAGGAACTCCGTGGATGCTCAGTGGTACAGTTATGATGACAGCAGCGTTGATCTGGTGCCAGAGGAGGAAGTCTGCACCCGAGGAGCTTACATCCTGTTTTACCAGAGACGTAACACCATCCCACCATGGTCAGCCGGTAGTTCTGTCAGAGGTATGTACTCCAGTTATTTAACTAATAAAAACACATTCACAGGATCCATCAGCCTCTATCAGCACTTCCAGCCCGGCTGTGATCGAACCACGCTGCTACAGATCTCGTGCTGACTACAGTGATGCACTTTTTAGGTGACCTTTAACAAGCAGGCAGTAAATTGCCTTCAGACTGTGCAGAATGCAGGAGCAAGGCTTGTAACTGGAGCTGAGATATGGCATCATATCACCCTGGTTTTATATTCCCTACTCTGGTTACAAGTCATTTTAAATATTTATTGTTAGATTTTAGTACTGACTTTAGAGCCCTCCATGATCGAGCTCCATCACTGAGCTCCATCACTGAGCTACTAAGATCATCACTCATGATGCCCCCCCCACCATCCCTCCAGTCGCCCACACCTCTGGAAAGCACGACCTCTGACTCTGAGTATCATAGAGTCCACTGAAGTCTTAAAGGAAGAACTAAAAATGTTTTTTCTTTTTAGACCGGCATTTTACTGAGGTTGATGTTTTTTGTTTTTTATCTGTCAAAATTCCTATATAAATAAAAGTGGCTTACTTACAACTGATACAAATATATAATTTAATATTTATGCTAATTCTGCACATGCTCTCAGAGTGCATTGAGTCTCGTTACATTACGCAACAGTAGAGTAGAATAGATGGCAGCCTCACACTTCCCTCATCAAGTCAGACTTTTATTCATACCATCTGTGAAAAACAAGGCTAATCTTATTTTTTTTTCATAGGAACATTTGCAACATGGTGAAACAAACGTTTTGCAAAAACATGTCATAAACATCCTGGCCTCATTTCAATGCCTGTAGATAGACTTATTTCCAAACAGATTAAGTAGAATTGGACCACGGGAACACCAATCAGAGGCCTGCGTCCACCGCAGCTCTATATACATCAGGCTGAAAACAGGAAACAAAACTATGTAGTGTCTGACTTCACTTTTGGTACTTTTTTCATACAACTTTTCTAATATTTTGAGTGAAAGAATAACTCTTGTGCAGCAGGGACTTCTTCTCTTGACGTCCTGTTCACATCCAGGATCAACGTCAGTGTAGTCGTCCCTGCAGTGTTCACGTTATGATAACAGTCAGGAGTCTTAACATTTTCCATCAATTCCATCAGGATCAATTCTTTAGTCTTTGCTAAAGAAAAAAAAAAGTATTTTAAGGTCAAATTAAACTTTCCTGACAGCCCAGACACTCACCCGATGTTTTGACCTGATCTAAGATAACATAAATATTGAATTATTATCAATTATCCATTCTCTAAAAATGAAAAATCACTTAGGGATACTTTTATGAGAAGCAGCTGAAGTGCTCCATCATGGGCCCTATCAAATGACAGCTCAGAGTCATTATCTTCTAAAGTTCTCCATCAAAAGATTCAAGTGTTTCATTATTCTTTTTTGGATTTATGTACAATGTTGTGGCTCCATACACAGATGTGATTAGGATCAGAGGCTCTTGGCATCAAATATTAACACAGTAGAAGCCAGGTTGGTAGTTTGAAACATCAAAGATGACGCCTGAACAAGTTCACCCATCCATCCACCCATCCATCCACCCATCCATTTATTAACCTCTCCTGAGATGGATTCAAATCCTCAGGGGATGTAAATAGAGCGAGGTGGCACATGAAAGGGACTGTGCTCACTTCTAATTGGTCCAGAAAGGTGACGAATTTAAACTTGAAGCATTCGCAGTGAAAAGAAATGACAGGGAGCAGCAGATGTTCAGTATATTAAAAGTGCAGCCTGTCATGGAAATAAAGCCAAGCTGTGTATTAGCCTCTTAGTTCATTGGATTTCTCCAGATGAGTCATACACATTAGACACACTCCATATACACTGCAGTACACAGTACTACACAGTATAAACCTCTCAAAAGTGCTTCTTGTATAGCATGTTATATATATATGTATGTATATATATACCGGTATATGTATATATGTATTTTTATATATATGTTTATATATGTATATATATATATATATATATACACACATATATATGGGTATTTATTAAATATATATCTGTACATTATGTATGTATGTATGAGAATATATAGTCTATATATAAGCATATATATGTATATACTGTATAGTTTACTTTTCAAAAAGAAAGAGTTTTTTTTTTTAAATATATGGCCGGACTTTTCTATTGATATGCAAATTAATTCTGCCTGCGTTACACACTACACCAAATAGGAATAAAAGCTTTGGCTTTATTTCAATTAAACCCAGTAATTATGTTTTTTTGTAATTGGTTCCCGATCTGTACGACTTCATATGAAGTGACTCTGTCCTTACTGACCTTTAACTGCTCCACAATTTCTGTTCAGCTGTGAAGCAAAAACAATAGCTTCTAGTTAGTTTACCTCTATGTTTTCATGGTATCATTAGTGCTCATCGATTATCCTCCTTCAGCAACTGACAAATGAGAGCGTGTCAGTTCTGTGTGTTGTCAACCTTCATTAATGCAGAGTTACTTTTCCTCCAGAGCACATTTCCATATTCATACCTCTGATGTGTTCGCTGGCCTGTCTTAAAGGCAGAGTTTTTTTTCCTGCTTCAGTTTTGAAGTTTTTTCGTCACTCAGCTGTTGGATGTCGTGTTCACAGACCTCAGCCCTCTTGTTTGTTTGCATCATCTTGGTTTTTGTTATTTTTTAAGGGCACTTTCTGTAATTCCATCTGACAATCTGCTCCTTTGTGGTGTTCACTCCGTACGAATCAGTTAAATCGTGTTCCAAGCTCTGATGTGGGCTTTATTTTGTTGTTGTTTTTTTAGGGATTTTAATCTTCTTCCAACAACAGCAGCGGGTTTGAATCTCAGACCATTCTATTCTGCTACCTTCCTGCCACAATGAATCACACGACCACTGAAGAGAAACACTCACTACCTGAGGAAAAACAGGGTCAACAGGGAGGAACTCCCCACGGCTCCACTCATTCCCTGATATTTTTAAACATTCAGTGAGAAAATCAGGTTAAAAAAAGAAATTTTTTTTTTTATCTCGATCTCGATTGTCGCGCTATTTTAGCAATTATCCGGAACTAACTTCAACCAAGAAGAGAATAGCCTGAGCCGACATTTGTGTTTTGGGTTTGTTTACTTTAGTGAAACAGCCCTGTGATGGAATTCTTCATCACATTTTCTAACATTTCCTCTGCTGCCCCGAGGTAGAACTGCAGGAGCTACACTGGTAAAATAATCAGAACGTTCCGACGTAGGAACTGAAGAGTTTTTCCTGTCTCGTTTTTCTCACAGGCTCCACAAGTTCATCTGTGTCGGACCACTGGCTAATCCGACTCTCGGTGGACGGTAAGAGAGGCAGCCTGGTGTCTCGGTCGTCCATCACCGCCCCTTCATCTGTTCCTGACTCTCCAGAGTCTCCAGTCTTCATCACCGAGGGTTCCAAAGAGAGAAGAAGTAAAGCAGCAGTGTCAAATTCCTGTGTTTTAATATTCATCCTCTTATGGTTCGTTTCTCTTGTGAATACTAAAATATTTCTTTTTCAACGTTATATTCAGGTCCTTTTGAAAGTCAGCCGTTTGCCAGAGGAATCCCAGGTCGCAGCGTCAGCATGAGACTCCCCAGTAAGACCAAGGACACTTTGAGCAAAGTTTTCCCTCTGCGCTGGTCGTTTGGTTCCAAGGACAGACGAAAACCTGAGCCAGTGCCTCCACCGGTTCAAGACACAGCCCCGGTAGAGCTGGTGCAATACTTGGAATCTGGCCGCCGGCCACGCTGCACAAAGGAACCAATCGTATCACTGATGAGTGAATCACGCAGCACAAAGAAAGTTGCTGAGGGCAATGCTGCGAGCGCTGTCCGCTCTGATAAAGCCAAGGATGGACCGCTCCCAGAATCGCCACAGGTCCCTGAGGGTCAGAGAAGACCATTTGACAAGACAGGTATTAGGATCAGCAGGGGGGGGCAGGGCAGGGAAGAGGGAGCCGTAAATATCAACAGCAGCTCCAGCAGTAACACCCTCACCAGAAGAAAAGACACCACGAAGCCGGGCTCCTCCAACGCCTCCCATGACACTGATACAAAAAGAAGTTTGAGCTGCGGGGTTCAGCCGAGCTACAGCAGCCCCAGCCTCCACGATGCCTCTCTGAGGAGGCAAAAGGGGGAAAGGGCTGACAGGGAACGTCACGGCGCAAGTGAAGCAAACTGTAATACCAAGAGAGGAGACGTGCCGAAGAGCCACGAAGGACTGCTGTCTTTCTTCAAAGGTAATTTCCTGAAGAAGGAAAAAGACCCGAAGAAGTCCAGAGAGACTGAGTCCGACCGAGGAAGAGGAGGCGAGAGAGGAGGAGTAGGGGTAGAAGGTGAGGGAGGAAGCAAACGGACCCTGTCGAGGCTGTCGCTGTCAAACGGATCGGCAGTGGGGAGAGCGGGGGTGGAGGGCGTCAGGTCGAGCAGGTCAGGTCACCTGTCCAATGAGCTGACAAACGGGAAGGTCGGACACACGGCAGCTGAAATCAAGCGCTCCCAAAGTTCCTCCAACATTCCCACCAAAGCAGAGCACAGCGTGAGCAGGACGGCTTCTCTGCACCGCAACGGGAAGTCCACGGCGTCTCACAGCCTGGCGGCCGACAAGCCGCTTCACGGCACGCTGCAGAGGACTCGTTACAGCACAGCTTCACTGGGACGCAAAAGGACGGTCCCCGAGTCCAGCTTCTGATGCACAGATATATTTAATATAAACACAAACACAAGGCCTTTTCCCTCGTGTCAAGGGAAACAACTTTACGTTTGAAGCAATAGAGCTAAATTCACAGCGATATGCCTTTTTTTAAGCGGGAGAAGAACTGTGTGGTTTGCACATTAGAGCTACGGAGTAAATGAAGGACCTTTTAACGTTTTTTATTTAAGATGGGACGATTCTGTCGTCGTGCTGTTTTATTCATCACTCTACACAAGTGCCTAAAAAGAAAAAAATCGAAATATGCAATTTATGCCAACAACAATGTTGTTTTTAGCACAAGAAGCACAAGAACACCAACATCCAAACACACAAAGAATGGATGATTCTGCAACCCCGAGGATCGACCGATCCTGATACCAGTCTGATACCTTCTGTTCTCTTATTTATTGATAAAACTCCATGTTCTTTGTTTTGATGTTGGTTGCACAGACGTCCAAAACATTCTGTTCCCTTGAGGGAGAAATCAACTGCGCCAAGTTATTGCACAACTGCAGCAGCAGCAGCAGACTCAGCAGCAGCGTTCAAAATGAACCATCAAAACAGTAATAAAAATAAATGAAAATCAAATTCTAGTTTTAAAATAAGATACCTCACAGTAAATGTAGCCCAGACGTGATATATTGATATATCAACAGAAGTTGCGATATATAGACATAAACGATCATAACTTCACCTGAAAAAGTAAAACTAAAGTAAAACTGACTTGTGGGGGCGTTAAAGTGACGCTCGAATTGTCCTGCGCTGCGGCCGCACGCTGAGACTCGTCAATGAAGTGAATGTTGCACCATGTGCAGCTGCTTCCTCACCTCTGAGTGATACAAGAAGCTGTTAACACCAACACCCGCCGCAGCAGCAGCAGGGTCTCTGGTAAATGCACGTCATGCAGAGACCTGACCTGATTTTTTCGGCTGTATCAGCACCAGTACCAATCCCTGAAGATGGGATTGAACCACAGATTGAACCACAGACATACGTATTGTCATCATTGCTGCTGTAGGAATCAGTTTATTCTCCTTCAGTCAAAAACTGCCGGTGTTAATTTATATGGAAATCCTACCTGTGTCTGACCTGCTGTCACAGTCTGAACATGCAGTGAAAATAACAACCAGGGTTGAAGTGATGTTTCACACCGACACGGATGTGACTGTGAGTTATTTACACGTCACAGGCCACGGCTCTGCCTCTCAAGCCTCGTTGTTTTCCATTCACCTCATTAAGTCATTTAAGTCAAGGTTATCGTTTATCGCCGTTTTCAAAAGAATCACGACAGAAAAGGAAACAAATCTGTGGGGGCTTAAATCTGCGGGAACAACTTCAACGTCTATTTTGATGTATTATTTTTCTGGAGTTCTATAAAAGGCTGGAGTTCAGAGACAGCTTTGGAAAAGTGGTGGTGGTTGTGGGGGCGTTGGGAGGGGGTTCATCTGAACCTATCACTGACTGGTGATACAGAGATGCTGCAGTGAAACAGTGGCTGCAGTGAAGGCTGGTAATAAAAACACTTTAAGAGTTGCCAAAATGGTCAATGTAAAGTTTCCAGTGTCGTTAGATTCATGACTTCGCAGGTTCTTCTTTGAAATTAAATCAATAGAAAATGTCTAAATGAAAAGAGAGTAAACAAACAGAACCAACCTGTTTCCCTTAACTACCAGTTGCTTTTTTTGTTTGTTTTTTTCGTTGACAACATGCCAAGAAAAACACATCTAATTGTGTGGTTTGTTTTCTTCTGTAACCTTTTTCAAAAGGGTTTCCAAAAACGGAACCAAAGCTTTAAAGTATAATTCAGCGAAGGGACAAAGGTGAAATATTTGCCGAATTTATTTTTAATGAAACACAAACAATTCTCTTATTTACCTGCGGCTCACATCACTAATTGGGACACAGATGCAGATCTTCCTCAGCCTCGCGTCCTGTCTTACTTATTTGTTTTCTTTTTAAGGCACTGAGCTTAGCCACAATGGCAGTTTTAATAAGTAGACTTTTTTTTTTTTTACTCCTTAAACTTTCTGTGATCAGACTCACTTTCACCTTAACTGTGCAGCAGATCTTTTCTGGACTGCAGGCAGGCCAGTCAAGCACAGAACCACTATGATTTCACAGCAGCTTTTTTTCTGAATTCCTGGTCCATTAGATAAGACATTGATTGGATTAGAGCGTTTGAAATTCCAGTACAACCTTCTGTGTCTGCAGTGCGTTCACATTTCTGCAGATCCCCGTCAGATGTGACTGGAGATGAACCTTCACCACAGTCTGGATGCTCTTTATAAATTGATCAGCTTTTCCTCAAAGAACTCAGCAGTGTTTTATCTCAGATCTGTTGTATGGCTTCCTGTCTGCAAAATACAGGGAGCAGTTTTTTGATGCAGTATTATTATTGGTTTCTCAATGGTCTGTGATTGTTTTACACCACAGCTAATTGACACCTCTCCATTTCTCTGGTTTTTTCCATAATGAAAAGGCCATTTTTTTTCTTAAATTTTCAGTCTCGTAGCAAAGTGTCCTTTCCTTCCTGGGAAGGAATAAGAAATGAGATTCATTAAACAGACAGTTTGTGTCTTTTACTTTCTTAATAAATGGGACCTGTCTGATCCAGACCCTGCTGTAATCTGTACAAAAGAAGCTCCACTAGCAAAGTAGTCATTGTGATTGTTTTACACCACAGCTAATTTACACCTCTCCATTTCTCTGGTTTTTTCCTCCTCTCAGAGTTAAAACAGACGTGTCACAGTAGGAGGCGCTGCATCGCTTCCCTGCCAACAGCACGGACCTTTCCTGGTAGAGGTCACAAATGGGGTCACGATAGAAAAGTTCAACTTATGTCTGTGAATGTAAGAGCAAGGACAGGAAATGCATTTGGACACTAAGATGTTCAGGGACCCACGTCTTTCACCACACCAGAGAGTTCGCTGACAAAGTTCAGATTAAAGTGCTGAATCATGGCCAAGTATTTTTTTTTTTTACCTTACCTTAAAAGCAGAACATTTTTTTCCTCTCATAACAGAAGGAATGTTGAAGGGATTAAAATAAATTCTACTTTTGGCCTTTTGCCTGTGAAAAATGTCAACAAAAAGTTTTTTTTTTTTTTAACAGAAGTTTTACAGCCGTTTTCTTTCTGGAACAAGTTTTTTTTTAACAGATTTAAGTTTTACAGCCGTTTTCTTTCTGGAATGGTACAGTGTGCAGTGAAATTTGAATTCAACGATGCAGTACCACAGTGTTGTTTCCGTCTGCTCCCCCACAGGACTCATCTGTGCTTTTCCGTAACGTCTGGCGTCTGCTGATGCCTCCTTCGCCAAATCCCACTCAGAGTCTACAAATCTGATAATTCGTCATTATAAAATTTTACCCTTGGTGCCATCTATCAGCTTGTCGTTTTCCTTTTCGCTGTGGCTGTATTGCCAGTTTCAGGCAGACATGGAAACGTAATTTGTCTTGTCACATGAAGGAGAAGAATCTGTGGAACGAATCATAATCATTTGATTTAATTTGTACCTTATTAACCCTTTTATATCAGTCACAGCTATAAATATTGTGTCAGAGGTTAATGTTCTCCATTATCCGTAGAAATGCTGTCTTTCTCCCTCCATGATTATCTGTCCTGTATATTAGAATACATGTATATTTAAGTACAGCAGAATGACTCACAGCTGCTTTCCAAAAGGTCACTCACATAACAGACGAAGAACAGCAGAATGTTCCCTCCATTTCCCTGGACTCCATGTTCAGAGCCGCTCCATTATGGCTAATTGAGGACTTCCTGTTAAGGATTGAGTCTCAAATGTAGATGGTTCCATTTACGCTAACAAAATAGAGTCGTCCGTACGTGCGTCGATAAGGAGGGTGTTCGATAAAGAAAACTTCCCATCGTTCATGCTGCACGTGTGTGTGTGAGCCTTTATCTGTCACCGTGTTCCAACATCAGAGAAAATAGTTCAGTGTATTTTTATATGTCTAAATTGATATTTAAACTACAGCTTCATCTTCCTCCTCCATCAAATATAATTGTTTTTCACCTCTCTCTTCTCAGCGAGACTTTAACAACGTCAGATTGACCGTCGCTGTGCAGCGTCACGTCTCAGAATCTTCGTTTTCTCAATCTTTAGTTTGGCCTTCAGATAATTCATATTATAAACTAAAAATCCCATCGTGCCTGTTTTAGTCAGCACCACTGGTGGAACTGCTTTCTGTCTGACACATACTGCCCACTTAACTTACCTATATTTATATATATATATATATTCAAAATATATGTCATTATACCAAATATATAAAATGTAATAATATTGACCTGGTAATATTTATTTGTTTATCTGTACAAACTACTGTATGAGTTGCTAGAACCAGAATTCTGCAAACAATCCCCTGAATATTAAATTAGATGAATTAAATGAGCTGCAATGCTGCCATCTAGTGGCTTTCACTTTCATATATAGCTGTTTTTCCCCAAAAAACGCATTGCGTTATCAGGTTTTCAGTAAAACCCTCGTCTCCAAACGGACGTCGTGTTACAGTTGTACAGCATGAGAGCGGGGGGGGGGGGGGGGGGGGGTAATTCCGTCGTAGTCAGCCTTACCGCCCGTTGATGGCTGACGGTTTGACATTGGTCCACGTGCTGCTGAGTACAGTGGTGTTTGGGGGAAACAGACTGAGGTAATGAAAAGGCTGCGATTGAAATTTGCATCCAAACATTTGTCGCCGCATGTTCATTAACATTTTTATTGCCCTGAACTTCTTGGCCTCAATTGACCAGCAATAACAGTGAAACGATTCGCTCATTAGCGTTTACCCTTAGCAAGCACACACACACCTTTATTATTCCTTAAATGAATGTAGAATCAGCACAAGAGAAAATATTTTTAGGCATATAAATATATACATACATATATATATGTATATATGTGTTTATGTATGTATATGTATTTATATACTCTTTATATGTATAAATGCATTTACACATACACTGTATATGTATAAATATGTGCGTATATATATTTATATGTCAATATAATAGCGATATATATGTATATATTTATATGTCAATATAATAGCGGTTTGAGTGAATTGTTAGGGTCATTTTTCTGTGCGCGGCTGCTGCTCTGCTGTCAGACAGACAGCAGCTAAATGGCAGTAGTTGGACAGCGGCTGTGAAGCAGCAAACGTACAGGAAGCCTCCGTCTGTGTGGCTGTCCTGGAGCTCTGTGGTCCTCACCTGAAGCATTAATATTCAATATAACTCATCATGTCCCGGCAGAGTGACAGAAAGCCCACAGCTGTGTTTGTCAAAGGCACCACTGCCATACGTGGTGGTAAGAGGCCCCTCTGGGACGGGGAGTACAGTCGGCAGTGTTGAGGGACGGCTAGCTTAGCTTAACTGTCTGTCAGTTCCCGCTCTCTCAGTTTGGCTGCAGAGCCAATGTGACGTCCCCTCATTTGGTTAAAAGGCATTTATTAAGTGTATCGGCCACCATGTAAATACAAGCCTTCCTGGTGCCTGTATCTGTTCCCATATTAAGTGGTAAAACATAATCATGAATATTTTTGTACCTGAAAGAGTTCTAAAGAAGGAGTTCTCTGTGTTATAGAAACGTTGAGGTTTATGTAATAATGAGATTTATTTTTGTCCGTGCCGTCATATATTTTAATGATATACAGAACGTCCCAGTTCACCGTTAATACAATTCTTGTCAAATGTGGGTCG